AAAATAAATATAAAGAATATAAAGATCCAATTGTTTTAATAAGAATGGGTTTAAAAGGGTTGATGAAAAGTGTGTAAGTATTGTCACACGTTCATTTATTTATTATAATTAATTAAATATCATGTTTGAATAGTCCAAATCGTTGCAAATAAGAAATCTATGATAAAATAAATATAAAGAATATAAAGATCCAATTGTTTTAAAAAGATGGTTTTAAAACGGTTGATGAAAAGTGTATAAGTGTTGTTACGCGTTCATTTATTTATTATAATTAATTAAATATCATGTTTGAATAAATCAAATCGTTAAAAATAAGAAATGTATGATAAAATAAATATAAAGAATATAAAGTTCCAATTGTTTTAATAAGAATGGGTTTAAAAGGGTTGATGAAAAGTATATAAGTATTGTCACGAGTTCATTTATTTATTATAATTAATTAAATATCATGTTTGAATAGATCAAATCGTTTCAAATAAGAAATGTATGATAAAATAAATATAAAGAATGAAAGAATGAAAGGGAAAAAAAAAAAAGGAATAAGAAAAATGAAGAAGCTCAACGACCGGTCCCCGAGCGTTCAAAAGGTTCATCGCACTGTGAAGATCAGCAAGGAGCCCGTTTTAAGGGCGAGTAATTAGCCGAGAAACGCGGGTTCATTAGGATATCTCGTAGTATCTTCGCGACGCTTTCCGCGGGGTGGCCACGCGACCGTCGGCTCTTTTTATTTTTTTTTTCTGTCTTTCTATCTTTCTCTCTCATTCTTTCATTCTCTGTTTCAGAAAACAGAGATCAACTGATAAAACCAAAAAGAAGAAAAACTAAAAGACCCTACCGTGTGTAATATCCTCTAACTCGTAGAATTATTCGTAGAATATATTATACATTGTCTGTGACAGAAACGCAATGTTTTTATCTGATGGAAATGCAATTATTTCTATATATGACACTAGAAATAATAATTATAATATAATATATATATATAGTTATAGGACATCCCTTAAATATTTTTTTCTAACTAGCGTGATTATTATTAAATATTTTAGAGAAATTATTTTTGTTTATATAATATTTAATTATTGTTTGAAATGTTCTTTCAGCTCGTGTATAAACACACGTTTGAATATTAGTTTTTAATAAATATGTTTGATCAAAATAAAGTTCTAGTTCTTTATAATGTCTAGTTTCTCTGCTATAAACATATTTATTAATAATTTTATTTTTGAACGAGAGAAATAATTAATTGAATTATTTTTTAAATGAGATAGATAATATGATTGACGTGATTAAATGATTTGATGTGATTTCTAAAGGATTCTAAATTTCATAATTTTTTTATTTAGAATGGATTATACAAGACACTTCATTACCAACGTAAATATCAAGTGTGAGTTCGAATTGAATTATAACAGGTGAGGAGATATGATTAGAAATTATTTCAAACACGAGTAAATACTTAATCGTTAAAACAATTCATTTCTGATTTGAGATTAAAAATTGAAATTAAAAGATCGTAGTCGTAACTAATTGTTAGCACGTTTACAAAGTAAAAAAAATTCATATTAAATTAAAACAAATATAATAATATTATCGAAATAGATGAAATAATGAATAATTAAATATATGAATTATATATCCTATACGATTATACGATATACGATTGACAAGATATCAAAAATCATTGTATTAGTAATTTGATTGATTACTTTTTGACAAATATAATTGAACAGAGAAACCTAACACGTGTCCGAAGTTCGGAATCGGAGTGAAACCGTAGCAGGTGGGATATGGTATCACGTTTTACAGGTTGTAAATGGTCGGCAATTATCGATGGTATAGTATTCTAGTGGAATTTGTCGTGTGTGTGTGTGTATCTATGTGTGTCCCCATTGCGGTTTAATCGCTCGACAGTTTCGACCTCTATCGCGAAACACGCGTTCCGCACTTGCGCGCACTTTGAACGTTCACCGACGAAACGAAACGAAACGAAACGAAACGAAACATTTTCTCTCTCTCTCTCTCCCCCTCTCTCTCTCTATATATATATATATTTCTATCTCTTTCTTTTACATTTGGACTACATCGAAAGAGTGCAATTAACTGCACCACACGTATCTCGTAGCTCGATCTTAATTCTTTTTTAAAGTCCACCGCTATCCATCTATTTTTATTTTGAAAGAAGAAGAAGAAGTAAGAGAAAAAAAATTAAAAGAAAGATATATATAAGAAGAAAAAAGAAAAGAAATGATTTGTTGAGGACTCCTCTCACCTAACTCCACCCCCCCCCTCCCCATCCCCCCCCGTGTGTGCGTTCATTAAAATAATTCTCGCGGTAATAAACGTCATTAGGAACGTCCGCGGTTTACTCCTTGCCTTACGCTATATCCTTGCCCCCTTAAAACCGCATACTCGGTGTTGCTATACCTGAGCTGAGCTTTCCTTATTCATTCTATGAAGAATGTATACGAGTATGAGAGTAAAGTGAGTTAAGATAGTTAGGATATATACATTGATTTTTTGTTCTTAAGTTAGAGAAAGAGAGAGAGAGAAAAAGAATCAAAAAGGAATAGAATGTTAATGAATTGGATTGAAATAAATAAATAAATAAATAAATAACCGAGTTTAGTGATCGGATAAAAAAATTTCAGATAGTTCGTACGTGTAACCCTAACCAACGTCGAATAATTATCCTAAATCAAAAGATCGTGGGAATAAGATATAAATCCTGATAAAGATAGTTTGAGAAATCACCGAGGGATAAGGGTAGAACAGTAAAGATCTATCAGTAGAACAATAAATCCTGATTTATCCTATTGAAAAATAATTGATCAAATAAAGATACTTACCCTCGCAGGTGAATTGTCCGTAATGTTTCCCACTGCTTTTATCCCCGCAAACAACGCACTCAATGTTAGGTGATTTATCGGTTTGCGAGCTACCGGATTGTGAACTGTTTGCTTGACTTCCTGGTGTCGTGCTAGGTGGTAATGGATCTCTAGGTGTTAAAACAGCACCGGTTGGTACTAGGCACGTTATATCTTCGGGCGTAGCCGATGGTGTTAAATGGGTTGTAGGAGGCATGGGCGGCGGCGGGCCAACCTGAAGTGGTCCGCCGCCGCCGGCCGTGGCAGCAGCCGGTGCCGTAGCCGGTGAGGGCCCACCACCGGTCCCAAGATTATTTCCAGGGTCCCGCGATGCCCATGAGGGCGGCGGGGCTACCAACGCCATTGAGGCGGTGGTGCCGCGCGCCGGGAACCCCAGCTCCAACGTGCTGGTGAACTCGGTGTGGTGGTGGTGGTGATGGTGGTGATGGTGTCCTGCCGGCACCCGGCCGGGGAACAACGTCGCCGTCGCGGCCGGGTAAACCACCCCGGCAGTCGCCAGGGCGTCCGCGCCTCCTGTCCCCCCTCGAACCACCCTGACGGCTCCTTCCTCCTCTTCGTACGCCACCACCGAGCCCTCAGACGAATCGACTCGACTCGCGCCGATCGCGAGGAGTCTCTCGCTTCTCTCAAGGTACGTGTCTTTTTTTTATATTTTCACTCTTATTTATTATTACAACCCACCCCAACCCAAAACAATTAACAACGCGACTATATTTTTTTAATCTGACTTGTGGGAGGGGGTTTTGATTTATTTATCTGATTTCCCCCTTCTTATTATTTTATTTTTATTTTTATTATATCACACTTAAATTATATGTTTGTTTGTTTTATTTTTCTTCTTTTTATTTAATAATTATCTGTTTAGGGTAGAATGATAATCCAGGATACACTTTAATGATAACTGGTGAATTCGTAATAAAAATAAGAACCCAATATCGTTCTCCAAACACGATGATCCTTTTTAATGTAACTTTAAAGAGTCCAATTAATTATAGGAAAGATCTTTCTTCTTCTGATGTTAATTTTGATCGATGAACGTAACGTTGACATCGCGTTAAATATCATTTAAATAAACAAAACTATATATTATCGATTCGAACTAACGCACTTTGTCACTATTCTTCTTCTTCTTCTTCTTCTTCTTAGGGGGGGCAAAATAAAAAAACCCACCCCCACCCAGCCCAACCAACCTTTAAAGAAGAACACGCGTCGGAAACTAGATGATAACGTACAACCGATCGATTTTTTATTATTTCGAACTAACTTTGCACTCTCTCTCCTTTTTTTTAAATAATATTTATATTAAAAATGAAGAGACACACCGAGAAAAAAAAAACGTCGTTGTTTTCTTGTTTCACCACAATTGGGGGCAGAGGGGGTTTAAGGTAAGAGAAGAGGAATTGAGGGGGGGTCTCGTGCCACACTAAAGGGCACCGGTTGTCTCTTCTCTTCTTTATCTTCTTCTTCTTCTTCTTATTTTAAATTTACCAAAACTATAACCGAAATAAGCGCGGGCGCGTTAAACTCGACGACGGAGAACTACGGGCGACACGTCGTCCTCGTCGGAGCGTATGCGGTCGCCTGACGGTAAAACGGTGAGGCACGCGCGCGGGAAAGAAAGAAAGAGAGAGAGAGAGAGAGAGAGAGAGAGAGAGAGGTGGGAAAAAGAGAAAGAGAAGAAGAAGAAATAGAAAGAATAGGAAAGGTACACCTAATGTGTTCAATAAGTATAAAGAAGAAGAACACCAACACTAATAATAATAGTATTAATAATAATACTATTATCTATATACAATAATATAAAATAGTGATAAAAATTGAATAAGAAAAAGAAGAACAAAATATAGAAATAGAAATAAAGAATAAAATAAAGAATAGAATAGACAAAAAGATAAAAAAAAGAAAAAGAAAGAAAGAGATAGCAATAGATGCGCGCGCGCACAGAATCCTTGGTAACACACGTTGGTACTACGTGTGTCCTGATGAGAAGAGACCAACACGGTAGTAGTAGTATATAGATAGTAGTAGTAGTATACAATAGAGTAAAGAAAGTAGTAGTAATGTGTAGTAGTAGTAGTAGTAGTAGGAGGTGGTGGAGGAGGAGGAGAGAACAGAGAGGTGATACTCGACTACCGCCTCGATACGACGACTATTCTTGGGGCCGACCAGAGACCGACTGCCGACTAAGACGACCCCTGACATCGACCTGGCCCCCACCACCCCAAAGCCTCGCGGCTTTCTCGCGGATTTTACGGGTTGCCATGACTACCGAAGGTGGGGTCGAGTCCCGGGCGCGCCCCGGTGAGCCTCTCATTGGCTACGGAGTTACCCTACCCCTCAACCAACAGACCCACCACGCGTTTTACTCGACCACCGTCTAGAAACGTGTCGTAGTCGTCGTCGTAGTCCTCGTTGTAGTCGTCGTCGTCGTAGTCATCGTAGTCTCGCGCAACGTGCCTCTCTGTCTCTTTCTATATTTCTATGCTTCTTCGTTTATATCTCTATACGCGTCTTTCTCTTTCTTTCTTTCTTTCTTTATTTATTTCTTTTGATCAGTCTCTCTAGCTCCGTTGCACTACGGTCCGACCTCCTATCAACTACTTCTCTCTCTCTTTTTATATCTCCCACTCCAATGCAACACTACTTACTCTTTGCTTGCTATCCCTACTACTATTACTATACTACTACTCTTCGTTTCCTATCCCTATCTCTATCTCTATCATTGGTTTAAGTTTCTTCTTCTTCTTCTTCTTCTACGTTTTACTCTCTCTCTCTCTCTCTCTTTCTTAGATTTCTTCAACCTGCCGATCGTATTCTTTTTTTTTTAACTTTGTATCAAACTTTAATTCACTCAATAATCCACGTTAATATTTTTTCCTTAATTTTCTTATATTTATATTTAATGCACAGAGTATAATCTTACGTGTGTATCATTTCTTTTTCGTTAATATTAAGATACGGTGGTGAGTATCGTTAACAAGGAGGAGGGGGTTGGTGAAACATCAGGGGTTGTGCTAGGGGAAAGAGAGGTCACAACTAGAGGGCGTCAGCCAATGAGCACGAGGAGTCAAGTGGGGCGCGAAAAATGGGCCGGGCCGGGTTCCATCCACCCCCGAGGCTAAGGGTGAGGGTAAAAGTGATAGGAGTAGGGCTACGAAGGGCTTCGAAGGCGGCCGGGCCATCGAGTCAGGGTCAGTCAGGTCGCAGCCCTCTACCTCTGCACTTTTCACTGTCGTGCTCTTTGCTCTTTCCCATTTTCTCTCTCTCTCTCTTTCTCTTTCTATTACATACCCGAAGACACAAGCTTCCTTCCTTATTTCTTTCTTTCTTTCTTTCTTTCTTTCTTTCAACCCTTTCCCTTTTTTTCATCCCCCGCCAATCTCCAATATCTTTCCCCGTGTTTCAAAACTTTGACTAGGATCGATCGATCGAGATGTTACACTTATTTTCTTATTTTTTTTTAACGAAACAAGTCACTATATGACTCGACGAACGTTCGTCGAACTCGAAGCCGAAAAACTTGCATAAATTGTTATTTTTATTTAATCAGTTATTTCTCTCGTCCAAAATTATAATTCTTAATGATAAGGTAGCTAACGAACTAATACTTAACGAAGTTTAGATGTTTTGTGTTTTGAATATTAATAAAAATAAAAATGTATGTCTAACCAATGAAAAAAAGACGCTGAACTATAAAGATTAAGTTGCTGAAGAAATCCTAATAAAGGAACGAAACGTCCAACTTAGTTAAATTAAGTTTCTACTTCTTTTTCTATGTCCAAGTTCCCTGTGATGATACCTTATCATTAAGAGCTATTGTTATTATTATTGTTGTATATATATATATAAATAAATTCCTGAGTAATACGCCCACTTGTGTGTGTGTGTGTGGTGACGATTGAAACGTTAGAATGAAATTCTATTCGGTAAGAGGAAGTTGTTGGTTTTGTTGTTGGGATTACCTATTCGAAGATTCAATTCATTCAAACTGTGTATGCAGATTACTTTGCTAGGACTATTGCACATTATCAACATAAATAGCATACTCTTACCAATTTCATTTTCCCCTTCCTTACTCTCCCTCATTCTCTCTCACTCTTTCTCTTTCTCTCTTTGCTAATGCACGTTTGAAAAAATAGAATATAAAAGAAAGAAAAAGATATAGATGATTAGACAACAGGCTGACGGGGTCAGACATGGCGTTAATGAGGAAATAAATACGCATGTGCGGCATATGCTAATTCAGCCCGTGCGATCTTTTTTTTTTTTTTTTTTTTTTCTTTTCTTTCAAATCAACTTAGACGAATACGACAATGAGCAGAAGCAAGAACTTATACAACCACGACCACTACTACTACTATTACTATTATATACCATTACCATTACCACTACTACTACTACTACTATTACTTTTACCAATACCACCGGTCATCGGGGATTGGCTCGACGTGCCAGCGGCAGGTAATGCGCGAACTTTGACCCAGCTCGTAAAAATTCTCGAGTTACCGTCCCGTTGCAGCTGCAGCCGATGCAAATGTCGATGACGAGGTGGATCAGGGAGGTGGTGGGGTGGGGTGGGGTAGGGTGGGGAGGATGAGAAGAGAAGGAAGTAGTGGTGGTTCGTTCGTTGCTTCGTTGATGATGATGATGATGATGATGATGATGATGAGAACGAGTGAATGCGACTATTGACTTCGGCATATCTGATTCGCCGTGTCATCGGGAATCAACCTAAGTTCTTATTCTCGTCGTGCCGCTCGTTAAAGAAGACTACTGGCTTGTTCCTTCTCTTATTCTGTCTTGCTACTTCCAATGATTTTCTTTTCTTTTCTTTTCTTTATTTTTAAACTGCAATTAACACTCAAGGAGTTAGTTATTATTTCCTTGAAACCTTTTGGAATCCTTTAGACTCACCTGGTGTCTTTATTTCTTTCCTGATATTATCGACACAAAACGGGTTAAATAAATTCGATAATATACGATTCGGTTAAATACTACCTTTGTTTTTTTATTTAATCATGTTTATTAGCTAAAGGTGTACATACCGAAGAAATTTAGAAATACGTATGGATCGTTTTACATTCATTTTTTAGGCATTTATTTCGGATATTTTTTCTTGGTATACAATGTTTCTTTTTTTTTCGTATTATAATCGTGATTATTGTTTCTTTGAAAAATATATAGATCAAAAGTATTTGTCTTAGAATTATTTCTTTTTTATTAAATCTGTAAGCAACACTTCGGTAAAGGGAGACGGAAAAGGGCATATGTTATATTACATTAGGTTTACCGAAAAGTTCTGTCCGTTCAGAGCAAATTCAATTTTTTTCGGTTAAATTTTTGGCCTCTAGGGATATAAGGTACTCTTTTGAAAAAATATGATTATATATACAAATTAGATATTAAATAAAGTTTATATTTTCGAAGTATGAATATAAAATATATTATTTAATGTTTTATTCTAAAAATAAACAGAACTTTCTGATAAACCTAATATCACAAGATTACGGTAAGAAAATTGTATTCTATTTAACGAATAATATATTTTATCTAACTTTTCAAAATATTCAATTAATTGCTCCTCTCGTCTAAAAATAAAATAATTAATAAATATATTTGAACAGTATAAAGAACTAGAACTTTATTTTGATCAAATCTACAAAATATATTATCCTTTAATTTTATTGATTTTTTTTTTTTTTTTAAAAACAAGTAATATAAATATTATATATATATATATATATATATATATACTTTTATACTTTCGGGATGAGAATTTCGAATGGTGTCGGAGTTTGATGCGAGCCACGAGCACCGTCCCGTCTCGTCTCGTTTCGTACCGAACTGCCGACAAAAAGAATAAGAAGAAAAAAAAAAAGAAAAATCGAACAAATACTTATATATACCTCAGAGAAACGAGATCGGTGCCCTGACGCAACCCCCATTGCCGTGCCAGTCCCGAAGGAAATTGACTCGTTGGATAAAAAGAGAATGGGAAACGTGTTGGAAGTGAGTTAAAGTGAGAAACAGAAAAGAGAAAAAAGAGAGAGAGAGAGAGAGAAAAAAAGAATCAGGAGAGATAAAATGAGATAGAATGAAAGGCAACATCTCTTTGTCCGTTTACGGACACACTCGTTAAAAGTCGACTTCACCAAAATCGATAAACGAATGAACGAACGAACGAACCACCACTCGTTGTTATCGATCTTCTCTTTTCGATCTTATTCTTATTTTTATTCTTCTCTTTTCTTTTCTTCTCTTCTCTTCATTTCGTGCTTACTCTCACATCGTACGCGACGGAATGCAGAACTAAACTACATTTTAATGCTTACCAAATCCGAATCGAATCCAAAAAGATGATTTATATTGACCACTTTGATCTCTTTTGATAACTCTCAGAAACATATTTCTTTTTCACTGAATCTGATTATACATTTTTATCGTTAACCTTATATATATATATGTTACTGTGAAAGATCGAAATTGGAGAATGTTAAGATTGACATGAGTTACTTGTCAACATATATCAAATACATTGCGAAAGATCAAATTGGAGAATGTTAAGATTGACATAAGTTTTTTGTCAATACGTATAAAATATATTGGTGAAATTTTTATTCGAATATTTGTTTCATTCTTTTGTGACATTAATTAATCGATAAATGTAACAAAAAGCAACATATGATAAAAATCCTCTATATATATATATATATAAAACATAGTGAATAGAAATTCGATCTAAATGTAAGATTTGACATATTCCACACAATTAGAAAAGATCTACATATTTGATGAAAAAATAAAT